CCATCCAATTCCCCTCCCAGAGCCAACCAATGTTACCAGGTTTTGTGAATCTTCCCAGAGATATAGAAGCAAAGGAAGCTATATATGGGAAGGGATCCTCCCAGCGTTCAGACTATCTCTGGATAAAGAGGTGTCTGGGCAGAGGAAACAGGGTTGTCTAAACCCTTTTATTAACCACCCTAAATCTGCAGGCAGTTAATAGGTTTAGGTTTTGAAGGGAAGGCTTACTCGATATAAGGAGATAATGTCTGGTGCTAATGAGAAGGGCTTTGTAACAAGTGAGCTGCTCTCTATCTGGGCTGCACTCAGATCCAGGCCCAGGTCATGATCCATGGCGAGTTTATTCCCTCAAAGGGCGCCTGGGGCTATGGGCACCGCCGTCTTCTACATGAGCAATTTTCTGAACGTAAAACATTATCATACGTTTGTATTATTTTGATTAGACTCTGCAGTATTTACCAAAACTTTTACCTTTTAAAAGAAATACTGAAAACAATTTAAAAATCATTAAATATTATTTTAAAAGTCTCAGAGCCAAAATACTTCTCTACTGGAATGCAACTCTAATGATGTAATACAAATCAATGGAAAAATAGCAGGAGACATTTGCTTTACTGCCAAGTTTTAAAAAATACTTAAGCAAGGAATATTTATCTTAGTGATATGAATATTTAGTTTTTCCTTATCTGGAAATTTAAGTTTTTTAAAAAAAATTGAACTACAATTGACTTAGAATATATTCATTTCAGGTATACAATATAGTGATTCGTTATTTTTGTACATTATGAAGTGATCACCATGGTAAGTTTGTTACCATCTGTCACCATACAAAGTTTTTACAATATTATTGACTATACTCCCCATGCTGCACATTACATCCCCATGACTTATGTATTTTATGACTGGAAGTCTGCACTTCTTAATCCCCTTCACTTAATTTGCCCATTCCCCCAAAACTGTCTTTAAAAGACATTTTAAAGAGTGTTAACCAATATATTTTTGGGAAAACTTTAAAAGCTTACTTTCGTATCGACTGTTACCAATAAATAAATAAAGGCCCATGATTTTCTTTGGAAATGCAGCTCATCACTCTTTGCATCTACTAATATTTGCTTAAACAATAAAGGTATCAATAGACTCTTTTACAGAACACACAAGTATACTCTAAATATCTGAAGATGAGTAAATATAGAAAAAAAGCCAAAAGAAGTTTGAAGGTAAAAAAATATCCCATCAGATTTAAAAACATACTACAAATCTATTCGAATTAAATCATATGACACAGTGCAAGGAGAGACGACAGCTCACTAAAGCTCAATGAAGAATCCAGAATTGACCTACGTGCATATTAAAAGACGAATGTCACATAAAGGGGAAATATAGGGCATTGGGGCAATTGACTATTGATTTAGAACAAAGTAAAGTTAGTTTACTCCCTTGAATCACACATATAAATAAATGCCCAGTGAATGAAAGATTAAAGTATAAAAAAAGCATGTATAAAAATTGAAGATAATACTTTTAAAATCTTGGCCGTCCTCCATAAGACACAAAACAAATGAAGTAAAAAAATAACAATACAGGCAAACTTGAATATGCAGAAATTTAAACAGAAGACCACAAAGAGTTAAAACATTAACAACAGATTAAAGTACTGAGACACATGTAATAAAGGGCTGATGTGCACAATACCTAAGGAGATTTTACTAATCCATATGAAAAAGACAAACAACCCCAAAGAAAACTGATCAAAGAAAATCAAAGAATTCAAAAAATAAATGGCCAATAAAAATATATAAAGATGCCCAAGCTTATAGAAATCAATGAAATAGGATATTATTGTTCATTCTTTAGAAACCTCTCCCAACCTCCAAATGCTGATAAGGATGAGCAGACCAGTCATGTTCGCTGGAAATCACAGTGTAAACTGAGTGTCCTTTCGGGAAGACACAGAATAGTATCTTTCAAAATGTTAAAAAATACATGTTTAGTAGACATGGCAAATACACTTATGCTATAGAAACACTGGCATGTATGGAAAAAGATGTACTCATAAAGTCAAGGTAGCATTGTTTAAATAATGGAAAACTTAAATTTTCATAAACATGCATTAATAGAATAA